CCAAACCGTTTGCCCCCCCCCCCCCCCCCCCCCTCAGATCAACAACTTGTGGGACGCCCCCGTCAAATCGTCGCTGCACATTCAGTGGCCCAAATCCAACAACAATGGCAAATGGCTTTTGTACCTGGTGAAAGTGAACGCTAAAGAAGGCCTGCATGACGTCATTTGCACACCAGAGTTTGAAATCAACCCTTTAAAACACATCCAGGTACAATTGAATCCAGAGGCCACTCAGACCCTAAAACACGATTGCTTCCTTGCTGTTTCATGAGAATCTATGTGCTTTCAGGAGAGTTCCGCACTCAGGACAAAGCGTGAAATTTCAGCGAAAAAAACAAGAGGCAAGAATTGCTCACTCTCAGACAAAAATAGAATTTTGGTGAGCATTTTTTTTTTTTTTTGCTGTCTCAAATTGATGTACACAGCACAAGCAATCTATGAAGTTAGCTTTAAAGGAGAACTCGAGTTAAAAAAAAAAAAATCTTTGCAATAATATGTTCTGTGTGCCCCCCACTAGTTCAAACACGTTTTCTGATTAATATTAATTGTGGAATAATAATTAAGGAAATGAATGTAACATTATCAATCTCAAGGAACTGATATTCTGTCCTGTACTGCCCTGTGCTGTTGATTCGCAATGCGAGCCCAAGGGCACCTTGACATCAATTACAAAGTAGCGGCCAGCAGAGGGAAGTACAGTGCCCGCGTTCTTCTTAAATCTTATTCCACAAATGCAATATTAATCAAAAACAAAACTGTTTAGACTCCTGGGGGAAGATAGAACAGAAGTATTGCAAAAAAATGTTTGACTTGAGTTTCCTTTTCAGGAGGTCTTAACACACGCTTTCCTTTTCAGGCATGTGGGAAAGATTTGCAGTGTGTGCTGCTTAAGTGCCCCCTGCATGGACTCGACGGGTCGACAGTGGAACTCAGAGCTCGTCTGTGGAACTCAACCTTTCTGGAGGTGCCATAAAACTATTTTTCGCATCATTATAAATTCTTCCTATACAGTAGTCAGTGAAATGCAGATCTACATCAAGGGGAGCTCAAGGCAAAGATTGTTTTTTTGCAGTTATGCTCAATGTGCCCTGCTTGTCATCGAAACACGGTATTTTGATTCGTAATGTGCTTGTGGATTAAGAATTAAACAGATTAATCTATCCATTATTACCATCGCAGCACAGCCATCGCAACTAAAATTGACATCATGTTCACAATGCGAACCCGAAGGCACCGACTGCAATTTCAGTCGATAGCAGTGAGCCCGGAGGAACGTTTTGATCTAGATTTATAGCACCACATTGTGGGTTAAATGTTGCCCATTCAGCATCCATTGTCAACCCTTCTCAAGTTTCCTTATTTTGTTTCCAGGTTTTTTTCCAGGTTAGATTTGGGATTTCTTGCCTTATTTTCCCTTTGAGTTTTTCTATTTGTACTTAGTTACTTCACACCACTGATGAAATCACTCACCCAGTTTGGTCTTGACACAGGATTACACTTCCCTTTCGTCCTTGGACATCATTGTGAGGGCTTCACTGGTGCTCCACACTCAGTCCACAAACATGATCCTGAAAACTCCTGACACTGACGTAAGGCACAAGATGTCAGGTGGGATAGCTTGTGACATCTGCAATCATGCATTTTTTTTTTTTAATCAGTTGTGTGTGTTGTTGGCAGGTGATGCTTACAGTGTTCCCTGAGAGTGCAGTGGCCCAGTATGGTGGCGTCCCCTGGTGGATCATCGTGGTCGCTGTTCTGGCAGGGATCTTGATTTTGGCATTGTTGGTCTGTCTGCTGTGGAAGGTGAGTGGAAAGCATTCAGTCAAACAAAAAGGGAAAAAGGAGCTGAGACAGGTATGCACTGTCCAATGAAAAGCATGTACAGTAAGATTTCTCTAGGCATAAAAAGCAGGATTACAATGGATGGCATTCAATCACACTGATCAACAGCAAACTTTAATCAGAGATGGCTTTAGGTGTCCGTGAATGTATTGTTAACACTGATTTTTAGAAAATTTTCTTTTTTTTTTGTTTTCAAGTTGGCCTATAAAAGCTTGCACAATATTTGACCAGAAAAAAATTCCACCTATTGCTAAATTGAACCCATTTATCAATCCATTTTCTACCTCTTATCCGGGGTCGAGTCGTGGGGTGAATCTAACCCTTAATTCATAAATATTACTACATTACATATTATTATGAAAACCTGTTGTGCGAGGGAAAAAAACAAGTGAAAATGTGGAACTGACACCATAAATTAATTCAGAAAAGTTTACTTGCATCTCTGATGTAATTTTTTTTTTAATGTGTACACCAGTGTAGTTTTCAACAAAAACTAAGGTGTTGCTTTTGACTTCCTATTGTTCTTTCAAATGTGCAGATTCTGAAAGTAATTTGTGTGCTTCCATCTAGTGGTCAATAGTGGCATCAAACCCCAAATAGACAACAGTTAAACCAAAATGCCAATTCATGCCAAAAAATAAAAAAGTGGAAGCGCGAAGCCTGAAACAGTGATGGATTGGGCTTTACTGTGTTGTCAATTTTTTTTAAGTTGTTCTTTTGATCTAAAACACAAAGAACACTTTGTGTTTGTTTCCCAGATAACAACAAACAAACAAAAAAATGAACAAAATGCTGAGACTTGCATTGGACAGTCTTTTTTTTTCATACCGGGTGAATATTTATTTTACTTGTGGTACTTTTGTGATTGTTGATTGATCACCCTTGCTCCCCTCCCCACCCCCGCCTTTCCTTCAGTGTGGTTTCTTCAAGAGAGCATCCAAAGACCAGTACGATGCGGCCTATCACAAGGCTGAGATCCATGTTCAGCCTTCTGACAAAGACAAGCTCTCTGCTGAGGCCTGATTTTAAGCTCAGAACAGGTTCAAAACCAAGCAAAAAAAAACTCAAAAATAAATTAAAAAAAATAAATTGAGCATGTGCAGCAACTAATGAACTCACTTCAGCAGCTTTATTGTAAGCGCAGAAGTAGAGCCGGCCCAAGGCGTGAAACCACTAAACACCTTCTTAGAACCAACTGACCACTGGGGGACCCCAAAGAGCAATTAACAGTCAACAAATCCTAAAGTAGTATTTTGGATTCTTTTTTTTGCACTGCTATTGAAGAAGAACTCATTAAGTTTACTGCCAAAAAAAGTCCGCTAGCTTAATGCTAACACATCATTGGCGATGCAAATTGGGCTTACAATTAGCGTCGGTGTTGCAACGTTATAACCCTTAAAGCGACAGATATATGAACAGAAGCAGTGGAGCAACCCGTAAAAAAAGACTACTCCCATTCTTTATCTTCTGCGAAGTATGACGAATATTACTAAGGCCAAGACCGTCTCCATGTACACTTTTCTGTATTTAGGCGACATTTTATTAATTTTGAGATGATTTAGATTTTTTTTTCTTCATGTATCCAAATAATTTCACTTGAACTTTATAGCTTGGACCGGCTCTGCACATATTTAACCCGACACAGATTGCACTCAACCAAAACAAATTGCTCTTGTGCGACACTTCCGTCACAAGATCATCGTTGTTGTGTAATTGTGTGCTTTGCAGGTGCTTTGGCTGACATCGACTTGGCTTTTGAAAACGCCCAATGAATTGCGCAACGCATGCTTCGTCATTTCGCATAGCCAGCTCAACAATTACAAGTTTTTGTGTGTGTGGGTGTGTTTTTAATTCCTCTGTCTACCCAGTGTGGCTTTTTCAAACGCTCCAAGCAGGAGGACGCCATTCCTCAGTATCATGCCGTGCGGATCCGGAAGGATTCTTCTCACTACGAAGACGGCAAAGTCAAGTTGGATGCCTTTGAGAAGAAGCCGTGGATGACAATGTGGGTTGACAATGAAAGTTACTCCTGAGTCAGGGACAACAAATTGGTCCTGAAGTGGACTTGAATGCACAATCAAATGACGATCCAATACAAGAGCTGTAGTCTACGTTAACAAAGACAATAAATAATGCGCAATTATCTTTGTTGAGGCAGAAATTTTAATACGGCTCGTTGTATTGGATGTCCAAGCCTTTGCGATGTCAAATATTTTTCTTCATGCGTTCACCAGGAATCGGTAGTCTTTCTACACCGCACAAATGAGTTTTCGACATGGATTTGTAACTTTTGTATATATGTTTTATGCACATTGTATATTTATTTTTTGATAAATCATGTTTGATGGAGCCAAAGATGTTCAGTCTTTTGTGTGAAATGGACTGACGTACATTTGAAAATGAACTACTGATCCGATGTAGTGGTACTGTCTCAAAACCTTGCAGAATTTAAAAAAAAAAAAAAAAACTATGCACAGATGGGACACTTGACTTTTTGTATGTATTGTATTAAAGTACTTTTGTAAAAAAAATTTTTTAAACATCAAACATCACAGGCGACTCACCTCTGAATAAATGTTTGCTTGTTTTATATTTTTAGGGTAGCATCGTCACTGAAAGTCATTCTTCATGTGAAACTAAAAGGATGTAGCAAAATGTCCCGAATTAGATTATTTCATAATGTAAATGTTAAATTGTCAACTGGAATAAAAAATATTTTTCAAAATTGGACTTTGCCGCTATTTTATTTTTTGCATTGACGATGCTTTACCTACATCTGCTCAACACATTTACACATGCGTTAATAAAACTCATGCTAAAACTATGCCGGTAAATTCACAAGTCGGCCTGAATACAGTTCACAGCCTGACGATGTAGTGATTCACTCACCTGATGACTGTCCAATGTCAGTCAGTGTTAATGGTTGCAGTTCGTACTTCTGTACTTATGCCCACTTCGACCACTGAAAATAGCTGAACAAATGCCCTACTAGTTTGGATTTTATGGACGTTTTTTTCTCCGCATAGATGTATGCACGCCTTGGAGAAAAAGTTGAACCTTGCCAAACATCAGATAAAGCTCAATAAAGCTTCTGTAGTGAGCGCCAAATCTTACCAAATAGCCTACCGTAGAAATAAAATAATTAGTGCTGTCAAACGATTAAAATATTTAATCGCAATCGAGTGAAAAAATGTTAAATTAATGCCGATAATGACGCGTTAAACTGACAGCACTAAAAATAATACAAAGAAAATAAATGTGGCAAAGATAATGACCATTTTAGTCTCCTGAAATATTTTCTACCTTTCCCCCTAGATGGACAAGCAGATCATATGCGTCGCGAATCAAAACGGCTCTCAGGCCGACTGCGAGGTCGGCAACCCATTTAAGCGGGGATCCCAGGTACAAAGTCGCGCATTGCAATCCTTCCGCAGCACTTTTGAAGCTTTTGTCATATTGGCGTTTGAAATAAGAAAGGCTGTTCTGACTAAAGGTGACATTTTACATCATCCTGAGCACCACGGCGATGACACTGGAGACCGCGGAGATTGATATCGACCTGCAGCTCCAAACGTAACAATGACTAGCTCACCCTCAGCTTTGCCCCCCCGTTGTATATTTTTAATTGACCTTTTTTTCCCCCCACTTTTCTTTCTATTCAGAACCAGCGTACAAAATTTGGCCCGGGTGAGAGTCAAAGCCAAAGTGATGATTGAATTGCCATTGTCGGTGACTGGGTATGTTTGTGTCCGTCCGCAAGCGCGTACGTGTAAACAGAACGTGCTACTAATGCATGTTAGGAGGTCGTGATTTACTTTGGCTCGTCTCCTTCAGGGAAGCCAACCCTAATCGGGTTTCGTTTGGCGGAGTTGTGAGAGGAGAGAGCGCCATGAAGACTGAAGAGGAGATCGGCAGTTTGGTCAATTACACATTCAGAGTATGTTGATGTGACTCATGTTCTCCCGGCGACACTATTTGGCCAACATTTGCTGGACAATGCCTGCTAAATGTTAACAAATTGACTGTTTATGCCAAACATGTTGCTGTCCCCCCCCCCCCCCCCCCTCAGATCAACAACTTGTGGGACGCCCCCGTCAAATCGTCGCTGCACATTCAGTGGCCCAAATCCAACAACAATGGCAAATGGCTTTTGTACCTGGTGAAAGTGAACGCTAAAGAAGGCCTGCATGACGTCATTTGCACACCAGAGTTTGAAATCAACCCTTTAAAACACATCCAGGTACAATTGAATCCAGAGGCCACTCAGACCCTAAAACACGATTGCTTCCTTGCTGTTTCATGAGAATCTATGTGCTTTCAGGAGAGTTCCGCACTCAGGACAAAGCGTGAAATTTCAGCGAAAAAAACAAGAGGCAAGAATTGCTCACTCTCAGACAAAAATAGAATTTTGGTGAGCATTTTTTTTTTTTTTTGCTGTCTCAAATTGATGTACACAGCACAAGCAATCTATGAAGTTAGCTTTAAAGGAGAACTCGAGTTAAAAAAAAAAAAATCTTTGCAATAATATGTTCTGTGTGCCCCCCACTAGTTCAAACACGTTTTCTGATTAATATTAATTGTGGAATAATAATTAAGGAAATGAATGTAACATTATCAATCTCAAGGAACTGATATTCTGTCCTGTACTGCCCTGTGCTGTTGATTCGCAATGCGAGCCCAAGGGCACCTTGACATCAATTACAAAGTAGCGGCCAGCAGAGGGAAGTACAGTGCCCGCGTTCTTCTTAAATCTTATTCCACAAATGCAATATTAATCAAAAACAAAACTGTTTAGACTCCTGGGGGAAGATAGAACAGAAGTATTGCAAAAAAATGTTTGACTTGAGTTTCCTTTTCAGGAGGTCTTAACACACGCTTTCCTTTTCAGGCATGTGGGAAAGATTTGCAGTGTGTGCTGCTTAAGTGCCCCCTGCATGGACTCGACGGGTCGACAGTGGAACTCAGAGCTCGTCTGTGGAACTCAACCTTTCTGGAGGTGCCATAAAACTATTTTTCGCATCATTATAAATTCTTCCTATACAGTAGTCAGTGAAATGCAGATCTACATCAAGGGGAGCTCAAGGCAAAGATTGTTTTTTTGCAGTTATGCTCAATGTGCCCTGCTTGTCATCGAAACACGGTATTTTGATTCGTAATGTGCTTGTGGATTAAGAATTAAACAGATTAATCTATCCATTATTACCATCGCAGCACAGCCATCGCAACTAAAATTGACATCATGTTCACAATGCGAACCCGAAGGCACCGACTGCAATTTCAGTCGATAGCAGTGAGCCCGGAGGAACGTTTTGATCTAGATTTATAGCACCACATTGTGGGTTAAATGTTGCCCATTCAGCATCCATTGTCAACCCTTCTCAAGTTTCCTTATTTTGTTTCCAGGTTTTTTTCCAGGTTAGATTTGGGATTTCTTGCCTTATTTTCCCTTTGAGTTTTTCTATTTGTACTTAGTTACTTCACACCACTGATGAAATCACTCACCCAGTTTGGTCTTGACACAGGATTACACTTCCCTTTCGTCCTTGGACATCATTGTGAGGGCTTCACTGGTGCTCCACACTCAGTCCACAAACATGATCCTGAAAACTCCTGACACTGACGTAAGGCACAAGATGTCAGGTGGGATAGCTTGTGACATCTGCAATCATGCATTTTTTTTTTTAATCAGTTGTGTGTGTTGTTGGCAGGTGATGCTTACAGTGTTCCCTGAGAGTGCAGTGGCCCAGTATGGTGGCGTCCCCTGGTGGATCATCGTGGTCGCTGTTCTGGCAGGGATCTTGATTTTGGCATTGTTGGTCTGTCTGCTGTGGAAGGTGAGTGGAAAGCATTCAGTCAAACAAAAAGGGAAAAAGGAGCTGAGACAGGTATGCACTGTCCAATGAAAAGCATGTACAGTAAGATTTCTCTAGGCATAAAAAGCAGGATTACAATGGATGGCATTCAATCACACTGATCAACAGCAAACTTTAATCAGAGATGGCTTTAGGTGTCCGTGAATGTATTGTTAACACTGATTTTTAGAAAATTTTCTTTTTTTTTTGCAAAAAGGGAAAAAGGAGCTGAGACAGGTATGCACTGTCCAATGAAAAGCATGTACAGTAAGATTTCTCTAGGCATAAAAAGCAGGATTACAATGGATGGCATTCAATCACACTGATCAACAGCAAACTTTAATCAGAGATGGCTTTAGGTGTCCGTGAATGTATTGTTAACACTGATTTTTAGAAAATTTTCTTTTTTTTTTGTTTTCAAGTTGGCCTATAAAAGCTTGCACAATATTTGACCAGAAAAAAATTCCACCTATTGCTAAATTGAACCCATTTATCAATCCATTTTCTACCTCTTATCCGGGGTCGAGTCGTGGGGTGAATCTAACCCTTAATTCATAAATATTACTACATTACATATTATTATGAAAACCTGTTGTGCGAGGGAAAAAAACAAGTGAAAATGTGGAACTGACACCATAAATTAATTCAGAAAAGTTTACTTGCATCTCTGATGTAATTTTTTTTTTAATGTGTACACCAGTGTAGTTTTCAACAAAAACTAAGGTGTTGCTTTTGACTTCCTATTGTTCTTTCAAATGTGCAGATTCTGAAAGTAATTTGTGTGCTTCCATCTAGTGGTCAATAGTGGCATCAAACCCCAAATAGACAACAGTTAAACCAAAATGCCAATTCATGCCAAAAAATAAAAAAGTGGAAGCGCGAAGCCTGAAACAGTGATGGATTGGGCTTTACTGTGTTGTCAATTTTTTTTAAGTTGTTCTTTTGATCTAAAACACAAAGAACACTTTGTGTTTGTTTCCCAGATAACAACAAACAAACAAAAAAATGAACAAAATGCTGAGACTTGCATTGGACAGTCTTTTTTTTTCATACCGGGTGAATATTTATTTTACTTGTGGTACTTTTGTGATTGTTGATTGATCACCCTTGCTCCCCTCCCCACCCCCGCCTTTCCTTCAGTGTGGTTTCTTCAAGAGAGCATCCAAAGACCAGTACGATGCGGCCTATCACAAGGCTGAGATCCATGTTCAGCCTTCTGACAAAGACAAGCTCTCTGCTGAGGCCTGATTTTAAGCTCAGAACAGGTTCAAAACCAAGCAAAAAAAAACTCAAAAATAAATTAAAAAAAATAAATTGAGCATGTGCAGCAACTAATGAACTCACTTCAGCAGCTTTATTGTAAGCGCAGAAGTAGAGCCGGCCCAAGGCGTGAAACCACTAAACACCTTCTTAGAACCAACTGACCACTGGGGGACCCCAAAGAGCAATTAACAGTCAACAAATCCTAAAGTAGTATTTTGGATTCTTTTTTTTGCACTGCTATTGAAGAAGAACTCATTAAGTTTACTGCCAAAAAAAGTCCGCTAGCTTAATGCTAACACATCATTGGCGATGCAAATTGGGCTTACAATTAGCGTCGGTGTTGCAACGTTATAACCCTTAAAGCGACAGATATATGAACAGAAGCAGTGGAGCAACCCGTAAAAAAAGACTACTCCCATTCTTTATCTTCTGCGAAGTATGACGAATATTACTAAGGCCAAGACCGTCTCCATGTACACTTTTCTGTATTTAGGCGACATTTTATTAATTTTGAGATGATTTAGATTTTTTTTTCTTCATGTATCCAAATAATTTCACTTGAACTTTATAGCTTGGACCGGCTCTGCACATATTTAACCCGACACAGATTGCACTCAACCAAAACAAATTGCTCTTGTGCGACACTTCCGTCACAAGATCATCGTTGTTGTGTAATTGTGTGCTTTGCAGTTTAGGTGTCCGTGAATGTATTGTTAACACTGATTTTTAGAAAATTTTCTTTTTTTTTTGTTTTCAAGTTGGCCTATAAAAGCTTGCACAATATTTGACCAGAAAAAAATTCCACCTATTGCTAAATTGAACCCATTTATCAATCCATTTTCTACCTCTTATCCGGGGTCGAGTCGTGGGGTGAATCTAACCCTTAATTCATAAATATTACTACATTACATATTATTATGAAAACCTGTTGTGCGAGGGAAAAAAACAAGTGAAAATGTGGAACTGACACCATAAATTAATTCAGAAAAGTTTACTTGCATCTCTGATGTAATTTTTTTTTTAATGTGTACACCAGTGTAGTTTTCAACAAAAACTAAGGTGTTGCTTTTGACTTCCTATTGTTCTTTCAAATGTGCAGATTCTGAAAGTAATTTGTGTGCTTCCATCTAGTGGTCAATAGTGGCATCAAACCCCAAATAGACAACAGTTAAACCAAAATGCCAATTCATGCCAAAAAATAAAAAAGTGGAAGCGCGAAGCCTGAAACAGTGATGGATTGGGCTTTACTGTGTTGTCAATTTTTTTTAAGTTGTTCTTTTGATCTAAAACACAAAGAACACTTTGTGTTTGTTTCCCAGATAACAACAAACAAACAAAAAAATGAACAAAATGCTGAGACTTGCATTGGACAGTCTTTTTTTTTCATACCGGGTGAATATTTATTTTACTTGTGGTACTTTTGTGATTGTTGATTGATCACCCTTGCTCCCCTCCCCACCCCCGCCTTTCCTTCAGTGTGGTTTCTTCAAGAGAGCATCCAAAGACCAGTACGATGCGGCCTATCACAAGGCTGAGATCCATGTTCAGCCTTCTGACAAAGACAAGCTCTCTGCTGAGGCCTGATTTTAAGCTCAGAACAGGTTCAAAACCAAGCAAAAAAAAACTCAAAAATAAATTAAAAAAAATAAATTGAGCATGTGCAGCAACTAATGAACTCACTTCAGCAGCTTTATTGTAAGCGCAGAAGTAGAGCCGGCCCAAGGCGTGAAACCACTAAACACCTTCTTAGAACCAACTGACCACTGGGGGACCCCAAAGAGCAATTAACAGTCAACAAATCCTAAAGTAGTATTTTGGATTCTTTTTTTTGCACTGCTATTGAAGAAGAACTCATTAAGTTTACTGCCAAAAAAAGTCCGCTAGCTTAATGCTAACACATCATTGGCGATGCAAATTGGGCTTACAATTAGCGTCGGTGTTGCAACGTTATAACCCTTAAAGCGACAGATATATGAACAGAAGCAGTGGAGCAACCCGTAAAAAAAGACTACTCCCATTCTTTATCTTCTGCGAAGTATGACGAATATTACTAAGGCCAAGACCGTCTCCATGTACACTTTTCTGTATTTAGGCGACATTTTATTAATTTTGAGATGATTTAGATTTTTTTTTCTTCATGTATCCAAATAATTTCACTTGAACTTTATAGCTTGGACCGGCTCTGCACATATTTAACCCGACACAGATTGCACTCAACCAAAACAAATTGCTCTTGTGCGACACTTCCGTCACAAGATCATCGTTGTTGTGTAATTGTGTGCTTTGCAGGTGCTTTGGCTGACATCGACTTGGCTTTTGAAAACGCCCAATGAATTGCGCAACGCATGCTTCGTCATTTCGCATAGCCAGCTCAACAATTACAAGTTTTTGTGTGTGTGGGTGTGTTTTTAATTCCTCTGTTTGTCTACCCAGTGTGGCTTTTTCATTGTGTGTGGGTGTGTTTTTAATTCCTCTGTCTACCCAGTGTGGCTTTTTCAAACGCTCCAAGCAGGAGGACGCCATTCCTCAGTATCATGCCGTGCGGATCCGGAAGGATTCTTCTCACTACGAAGACGGCAAAGTCAAGTTGGATGCCTTTGAGAAGAAGCCGTGGATGACAATGTGGGTTGACAATGAAAGTTACTCCTGAGTCAGGGACAACAAATTGGTCCTGAAGTGGACTTGAATGCACAATCAAATGACGATCCAATACAAGAGCTGTAGTCTACGTTAACAAAGACAATAAATAATGCGCAATTATCTTTGTTGAGGCAGAAATTTTAATACGGCTCGTTGTATTGGATGTCCAAGCCTTTGCGATGTCAAATATTTTTCTTCATGCGTTCACCAGGAATCGGTAGTCTTTCTACACCGCACAAATGAGTTTTCGACATGGATTTGTAACTTTTGTATATATGTTTTATGCACATTGTATATTTATTTTTTGATAAATCATGTTTGATGGAGCCAAAGATGTTCAGTCTTTTGTGTGAAATGGACTGACGTACATTTGAAAATGAACTACTGATCCGATGTAGTGGTACTGTCTCAAAACCTTGCAGAATTTAAAAAAAAAAAAAAAAACTATGCACAGATGGGACACTTGACTTTTTGTATGTATTGTATTAAAGTACTTTTGTAAAAAAAATTTTTTAAACATCAAACATCACAGGCGACTCACCTCTGAATAAATGTTTGCTTGTTTTATATTTTTAGGGTAGCATCGTCACTGAAAGTCATTCTTCATGTGAAACTAAAAGGATGTAGCAAAATGTCCCGAATTAGATTATTTCATAATGTAAATGTTAAATTGTCAACTGGAATAAAAAATATTTTTCAAAATTGGACTTTGCCGCTATTTTATTTTTTGCATTGACGATGCTTTACCTACATCTGCTCAACACATTTACACATGCGTTAATAAAACTCATGCTAAAACTATGCCGGTAAATTCACAAGTCGGCCTGAATACAGTTCACAGCCTGACGATGTAGTGATTCACTCACCTGATGACTGTCCAATGTCAGTCAGTGTTAATGGTTGCAGTTCTCCATCTGCCCAGTAATTTGATTTGTGAATGTGTTTGTAACTTAAATATCCTGTAAGTGACCATTATTTTTTTATCAATTTATTTTATTCATCCAAAAATATCTTATTAAAACATTGATTTGATATTTGGAACATTGACATGAAGAGAGATAAGGTCTTAGAAAAAAACAAACTTGAAAATCAAGCGTCCTGGATGATACCTGACAACAACAACAAAAAAGTAAACGCCAATAATGATGAACACTACTGCCTACAAAGGCAAAAATATTTTGACAATAAACGCTGAAAAGTGTGTTTTTTTTCTTTTCTTTTTTTTTTTGTGTGTCAGTCAAACGCTAAACGAAAGGTCTTCTCCTGCTCTTTGCGTTGGTTGTCACACAGTTTGGACACCTCCTCCACTCGTCTCTGCAGGAGAACCGAATTCTGGTCGATCCACTGCAGGGAATCCATGTGGGCATTGAGGATTTTGCAGATTTGTTGAAGCTGACAAAGGAAAAATGAGACGTTAAGTGTCGGCTCACAAAATGTGATTTCATTCAATAATCAAATCCCATTTACTTCGAATAACATTTGCATAATTTCCATTTCAACTGCCCAATGAAAATTTTGCAACCCTAGTTAGGAGGACTGAGGTGTTTACTTGAGGCCATCTTACCGGGTCGCTGGTGTCGGCCGGGCCGCTGGACGTATTGAGGTGCTCGATGATCTCCTTCAGGTCCTGCGACATCCTCTTGAGCTGCGCGTCCACGTTCTCCGCCAGCTTGTACGTCCTCTCGCGCTCCTCGTCGGCGTTCTGCATGTAGATGGTGCCGCTCTGCTCCTTCACCGACTCCTCCAGCGGGCACAGCAAGTCCTCCAGCTCCTTCTGTTGGGACAGGATGAAATCCAGCTCCTGGTTGAGCCTCCTCTGGTCCAGCTTCACCTTCTCCATCTCCTTGTGAAGGGACGTGATCTTCTCGCCGTTTTCCACCAGCATGCGGTCCCACGCGTTGACCTGAGTGGCTTGCTGGAGGAAATATCTCTCTTGGTCTTCCAGCTCCAGGCTCCACTTGTTTATGAGGCCCTCCAGCTGGGCGTAGGTCATCACGGCAGGAGCGGCGGTGGTTGGCAGGGTGGTGGCTACAGTAGCTGCGGTCGTGGTGATGACCGGTTTGAGTCCCAGAGAGAAAGCCGATGTGGTGGTCGCGGCCGAGGCGATGGAGGGCGCGGCGGTGCTGGAGGTCACTGCTCCGAGAGGTTTAAGCGTAAAGGACAGGCCTCCGCTGGCTGCGGTGGTCGTCGCAGCGAGAGCCGCAGCTGGCGTCGCAGTTCCACTGAAAGTAAAACCAGAACCCATCACAGTGGCAGTTGATGTCGTTGGGGTCATGAACAGAGATGGAGCCACCTGGGTCACTGCAGGGGGAGCTGGAGTTGATGAGGGTTTAATTCCCAGGCTGAAACCTCCAGCCTGTGGAGCTGAAGCTACCGTTGTGGAGGTGGTCTGGGCTCCCAGTGTGAGGCTTGGAGCGACACTTGAACCTAAAGAGAAGCCGCCCCCCGGCACGCTTGTTGTGGCTGCCGCTGGGGTGACTTGTACCTTGTTTCCACCGAAGCTAAAACCTCCAAATGTGAGGCCTCCCGGTGCACTTGTAGTGGGTGCTGCTGCTGCTGCTGCCGGCTGGGTTTGAGCTGGGGCTTGGGTTGCCGTCCCGAAAGAGAATCCTCCCCCCGCAGGTGCAGTCAAGCCCGAACCCAGGCTGAAACCAGACGACGAAGTCGCCGGTGTCGCTACGGAGCCCAAAGTGAGACCCGCAGTCGGGGTGGGTTGAGAAGTTGAACCCAGGCTGAATGTAGTGGTGGTGGGGGTCCCGAACGTGAGGCTCCCGGCGGCAGTGGTGGTCTTAACTGGGGTGCCGAAGCTATAACCGCCGCTCGGGTTACTACTCACGGCGGTCTGCGCGGACGATCCGAAAGAGAAGCCGCCGCCGCCACTGCTTCCAGCGGCTGCGGGAGTGGACGTTGTCAGGCCGAAGCTCGCAATGGGTGCCGCTGGAGCTGTGGTCTTTGCGGCGCCGGAAGAAAAGCCCGTGGAAGGCTGACCGAAGTTGAAGCCGCCACTCATGGTCGCTCACCGGACGATGGCGTATGACAAAATGGATCACGTACCTCGCTGGATTTTTGGCGGGTCGCGGGTGCAACTTGCTGAAAGTTGGGTCCGATGGTGTCGAATGCGCCTCCTATACCGCGGAACTTGTATCAAATAGATCACGGGTTAGTTGTCATTACAATAACGAGCGGCGAACACAAACTAGTTGCACATCACTGTCAAAAAACGTGGCTTCAAAATTTGTTTCATCGTCACACAGGAGGAAATGCATGCTATTGCTAGCGGAAGTGACGATTTATGACCGCTTCCGGGTTTTCTTTTGCGTCTTGGTCAGTTTGTTGGTCGTTTTCGACCTTTTTTAGTATCCAACGTTTTTGAGCAAAATGTTGTCTGTATGTAACTCGATTGAGCTGTATGTAACGTGAGCTGTATGTAACTCGATTAACGTCGTTTGATTATGTATTCGATATGCTTGATATTCATGTAATATTACGCCGTTTCTCATCATTCGAAGAGTCTTCCAATGATTCGAAGACAATTCGTGGCTTGGTAAGACTACGTGGCCCTTAAGCTATAAAACACTAAATCAGAACCACACATACCTGTCAACTTTTCGGAGTGCCAACCTGTGTAAAAAACCCCACGAAATATGAATATTTGTTTCCTTGTAGAACTTGTTTGTATACTACCGAAGTATGCAATGAATACTCTGCTGTTTTCAACTAGGAACCACGTGATTTACTGGAAAGTTACCGGAAATGAAAGCATAAGAGTAGACTAGCACCATTCTGGGCAAAAGCAAACGGAACTACCTGTTAGGGGGAAAAAAACGGAACTTTTCAGAATCCGTATGATTTGTGCGATATGGCCATATACGTAAGATTCACCACAAAATCCGTATGAACTATGGCTAAACCGTATGAGTTGACCGGTATGACCACAGTGCAAAGTCTTCGGCATATCGTCACAGCACAAAAGTTAGGTGCATCCAAATTGGACATTGTCATTCAACCCTTTTTCATTTTTTAAATAAAACTGCTGCCTGTTTTTCAGGCAAATCTATGTTTTGGTAAATGTATTTACAAAAATGTCTTCAATATTGTATTTTTTTTTTTTGTGTTTTGGTTTTTGCGGAATGTTTATCAGCCTTTTTTGGGGGGGAGTTATAATTATCATTCTTCATATAATCATTATTACTGTCTGAGGATATCATAACCATAACAATGAGACATAAACAAATGCAAATAAAGAGTAACGTTTTGAAAAACAACGTGCCAGTGAAAGGGAAGTGTAGTGTACTATCTTGACGGCACTTGGTGTCTTTGGGACGTTGCTGCGTACATACCCACGATCGGGGTGCAGACTTTAAGCTTGCATGTCTGCCTCAATTAATTATTACATTGGAAACACCTCGTGGCATTAACAGGGACGATGGGGCGTTCACACATTTCACCAAACTACACGACAGCCATTTTAAAATTTTACTTGCCATAGTATTTTTTTTTGATAGCATCTCGATAGCAATGGAGCTAATGCTGGTAGATTAGCACAGTTTTGCGAGGCCCGGACGGACGACAGCGGAGGACAACCATGAGACTTTTAAGGTTTCTGCGGAGCAGCGTGTCCATAGGGAGAGACATAGACTACTATTCCAAATTCTCGCCCTCCCCTTTGTCCATGAAGCAATTTCTGGATTTTGGTAAGACGTGAAAACGTCACGTAAACTGGCGACCAACCTTTACATTGGAGGTCCTCGGTTTACGACCCAATTGCACTTCCAAGTGTGGCGACGAATTTGTACGTCAATCGGAACGCGTTGTTTTCTCTTAATGCAGTAGTAACGTCGTAGTTACCGTAAATGTTTGTATGAAAAAGACGTACTTCACGGATATGAGCCAATCATGCAAAAATCTTGGGCCACTTTCTTTTAACCTCAAAATGTCAACGTAAATTTAGGATATACATATACAGTATCAGTCAGTATTGGTTAGTTTCTTCGCCGGGCGTTAAACATTTAACGTATTGACTTATCAACCTGGAAAACAGATGTTTCTGAAGTGCCGAATACAGTGGCCAGCGGGGGTAATAATATGTGTCGTCCCCCTTTCAACCCAGGTTCAGAAAATGCTTGTGAGAAAACGTCCTTCGCCTTCCTCAGGCAGGAGTTGCCTGTGAGGCTGGCAAACATCATGAAGGAGATCAACTTGTTGCCAGATAACTTACTAAGAACGCCATCCGTGCGCCTGGTACAGAGCTGGTATGCGCATTTACGTTCAATTTGTCAAATCAGTTACATTGTCTTGAAAAAAATTGAAACATTTTGGATTTATGTCTCTGTGGTAATGTAAATGTAATTAGGTTTTCTAATTACATTTTCTACGTACAGGTATGTTCAAAGTCTCCAGGAGATCCTCGAGTTCAAAGACAAAAATGCAGACGATGAGAAAGTGACATATGAGTATGTTTTCATTTCACGGACTTTCAATTCTCCCCACAACTCGCCGTGTCCGTTGTAACATGGGCTTCCGCCGTCAGTTTCACAGATGCGGTGATCAATATCCGAAATCGTCACAATGACGTCATCCCGACAATGGCGCAGGGGCTGGTGGAGTACAAGGAGACGCACGGTACCGACCCGGTGGTTAGCCAGAACGTACAGTACTTCCTGGACCGGTTCTACATGAGCAGGATCTCCATCCGTATGCTGCTCAACCAGCACAGTGAGCATTGATTATTAATCAATTTGAATATAAAAAAATATGCTGGAATATTGCTGCTGAGACTGTACAATTTGTCTCTGACCCAAATTTCACCAACAACACAAGTCGACATTTTAATCACGGATGCCTTGACGTGTTCATAAATGTATTTTGATGCTGATTAAAAAATGTTATTTGTCCTTGCACATCAGGGATTTTTTTTTAGATAGTTTTGATTTTTTTTTTTTTTTTAAGTTTGACCCATGATATGTGCGTTCCCAGCGCTCCTCTTTGGTGGCAAGGTGAAAGTTAATCCAGCTCACCCCAAACATATCGGCAGCATTGACCCACACTGTAGAGTGAGTGAGGTTGTAAAAGGTGAGCACAATTCATTGGGGGGGGGTAAAAAAATCGTTCTTAATGTTTGGAGCTGCTTTCACTTTAGTACTGATACGTATTTTCCCTTTTAGATGCCTATGAAAATGCAAGAAACCTTTGTGACAGATATTACATGAACTCTCCGGAGCTTATACTGGAGGAGTACAATGGTAACTATAAAAACCCCAAAAAAATTAGTGGTTCATGTCAGTCTTTGATATTGATGATCTGTGGTTGTCCTGACAGTCAAAGATAAGGAGAAACCCATCACCATGGTCTACGTCCCATCACACTTGTACCACATGGTGTTTGAATTATTCAAGGTAGGTCCTGCTTCGTGAACGGCGCTCGTTGCCAAAGGTTTAGCCGAACACGTCTCTCGCGTTTCCACATCTCCGTGACCTGTTCTTTGTGTAGAATGCCATGCGAGCCACCATGGAGCTGTACGGAGACACCACGGATCATCCTCCAATTCGTGTTCAGGTCGGTTTGGGAACTGAAGATCTGACAGTTAAGGTGAGTGGGCAATGGACATCATCGGTCTCTGCGTCTCAGGAGTCACTTTTTGAGGACATACGGTTAGGAGGAAAAAAAAAAGAATCAAATGCATCCCCCTAACGATAAAAAGGCCGGGCACCGTGCTCAGAAATCGTAAAACGGCATCGTTGTTTCAAACAGGTGAGCGATCGCGGAGGAGGCGTTCCCCTGCGTAAGATCGACAGGCTCTTCACGTACACGTACTCCACTGCTCCGCGACCGAGCATCGACGGGTCCCAGGCTCCTCCTCTGGTGGGTCATCTCGATGTCCAATCAAGGGTCGGAAAGTGGCTGTACGGTTTTTGATTGGAAGGGCTTGATGTAACTGGAATCTCAACACTTTCTCATTAATTAGGTTGAATGATGTGGCATAATGAAGGTTTGGCGCTAGGTCATGAACCGATTTGTACGTACATGAATCAGAGGACCCAAATTGAGTTGGCAAATAAATGCACACGTTTCGGTTGGGACACACTCCGCATTCATATGAACAGAGACGTTTGCAGAGACGCAGTTGCATCTTCATGTTCATTTGACAGGATGGACTTTGAAGCACCTTCTGTCACTAATGCATGCAGTCAAACAGCCACAAGAGGGCGCCAGTGACTGATAAGAGGGCCAAGCTCAAACCCAGTGACGCGATACTGTACCTTGAAATAAGGCCTGTACTGTACAGTGATCCCTCGCTTATCGCGGTTAATGGGGACCAGAACCCCCGCAAAAGAGGAAAATCCACGAAGTATGTTGCTCTATGTGACTCGCCGTTGTTTTGTTGACTTTCGCTGCCTCTCGCGGCATTTTCGCTCGTTTTTTTTTTTTTTTTTTAAATGAATAATTTTGAAAAATCCGCGAGAAACTGAATCTGCAATAAGTGAATCGCGAAGTAGTGAGGGATCACTGTATTGGCCCGATACCGATTAGGCTCAGGACATGTTTTGACAAAAGGGACATTTCAACTCAAGCACTTGTTTCCATGCAGGCCGGTTATGGATATGGCTTACCCATCTCTCGACTTTACGCCCGCTACTTCCAAGGAGACCTGAAACTGTACTCTCTGGAGGGCTACGGGACTGACGCGGTCATCTACATCCGGGTAAAGTTCTCCATTCGCCTTCGCGACTCCCGAACGAGGGGCGAGTCGGAGGCGTGACCCGGCTCCTTCCTCCTCAGGCGCTGTCCACCGAGTCCATCGAGAGGCTCCCGGTGTACAACAAGTCGGCGTGGAAACACTACAAGACGATACACGAGGCCGACGACTGGTGCGTCCCGAGCCGAGAGCCCAAGGATATGACGACGTTTCGGCGGTTCTAGAAGTGAGACCAATGCCATTCCAAGTGTCGTCGTCGGTTGTGCATCTTTCCAAGTTTCTCAGTACACTATTTCGATACGTGGGGTGTGATCCATTTCACGGAGGGCCTATGTGAAAGTAGGTCGGTTTGGTTGGCGTGGTTACGCTCACGTTTTTTGAAAAAGCAATTTTCCGATTCAACTCGGTTTTCGTGAAACCCCGTCACATTAAGTCGATCAAATTGACGTTGAAATGGCTTGGAAGCCTTTTGAGTATTTATTTGATATCGAGTAAGTATCGCTGATATCAAAATAAAGTAGTACACGGACCTCAAGCTGGATCTCAAGGATATCGAACAAACACTCAAACCGGTTTTCCGTAAGTTTGTGTGTCAAATGTGCAATGTCAGATTTTAGGAGTTACTGTCATGTAATACGAGAACATGTTTTTAGGATTTTTCTGTTTAATTTTTTTTTGTTTTTAATCTCGTATGGGGACTATTT